TCTTATCCCGAATGTCAGCTACCATTTCACAAAAGACACTTGCACTGTGCTGATCTAAAATCGTTTGTTCTCGCTTCAATTTTAAACCACTGTGCAAATTATGAGTCATTGTCTGAGGAGGAATCTAGCGTTTTTGAAACGCTTAGTGAAATGCACGAAATCTAAAAGGAAGAAAACCATTGAGGAGGCATCACCAGACGAGATAAGAGCTTTGACCGAAATAGCTTCTAACATAGTTAAAGGAAATTTTAAGTTGGACTCAGAAACTATTCAGAAATTGAAAAAACATAAACATTTGGTTAGAAATTTATCCAAAAAAAGTAGTTCACATAAAGATAAAAAAGTGTTTCTCGTACAACTGGGTGGATTCATCCCAATTTTGCTAACGCCTATACTCAGAGCTCTAGGAGCAATAGCTGATAAAGCAATTAGCACCTCATTAGGTTTGTGATAGAAATGTCAAAGAGAATGAGAGTTGTGAGTGAGGAAGAGTATGGTAGATATAACAAACTTACAAAGCCAATTGACTATGCCAACAATCATTTTTTAACAGACAAAAGTGATGAAGTTTCTGAAGTACTTAACAGCAACATTCCTGAAGATATAAAAATACAACTATATAGTTCCTTAATGAAACATGTGTCTCATAAACTAAGGGAAATAATTGATAAACCTGTAAACGTAAACTTGTCAATTAATCAATCAAAAACATCCAAAATTTAAGAAGAAAATTCTAAAAAAATCCCAAAACCGCCTAGTACTTTTGATAGCAACGAAAGTTTCAAAAGTATCGATAGTGAAGCACATGTAAATGATCAACAATTTTTGATAGGTTTACCACCAACAAAGAAAAAACTTGGGGAGCAGCTACTCAAAAATTTGAGACAACGTGCAGATATAATTAACTGGGATAGCTCAGGAAGGGTGACTTTTTCAAGGATGAGTTTGAGCCAATGTCTAATATTAAGGATTTGATGAATTTTGCAATCCGCAACTTAAAGCATGATGTTAAGCCAAGTGGTATTAATAGATTCTTATCTGTTTGCAACATGGCAAATATTTTATCAGATTTTTATCGCACGAATTTACGCAAAGATGTAGCGGGTGGACTGGGAAATATGCCGTTGTTTGATAACCTTACTAATAGTGCTCAACGTTTAGCTATTTTTGAACAATGGGTTCCTTTATCTAACACAGACTCTCTTCATCACTCATTAGAAGACCAGACCACTCCGAATAGACGGCAGGCAACTCCTGCAAGAAAATCAAATCCACTGGACGTAACTACAAGGGCGTAGACACTAGTAATTTGCAACATGAATCTGTCTCTATCAATTCCTAGTTTGGTAGAAAAACCAAATCAAATTTTTTGTAAAGCCATGGTAACTGAAGCAGCAAGATTATCAACTTTTGCAAATTGGCCTACAACAGCAAAACAGCGTCCCATTGATTTAGTAATGTGTGGATTCTATAGTAGAGGTCCTCCAGATAAATTAGTTTGCTATCATTGTGGTCTTGGTTTAAGGGATTGGCTTCCTGACGACGATCCATGGATGGAGCATGCTCTGAACTCTCGCCATTGTCCGTATTTACTTAGCTACAAGAATGAAATTAGTTTTAATCTAAAGCCGCAAGACCATGGAGATATCATTCAGAAGCTGTTGGTAATAAAAACATTTATTTTAATTTTAATTTTAGTAGCATTTTTACTTTATTTACTGTAAAATGTATTCAAATGTTAACAGGATTTGAATGAGACAATTACTGACAATGGATCAACTAATAATAGTAATACAGGTATATCAAATAATATTTTAAACTTTATTTTACAAAATCTAAGCTTTGAAAATTTCAGAAAAGGATCGACTACTTCACCATGTATTTGAAGACGCCCTGTGCAAGATATGTCTAAACCGAAAGGCGAATCGACTATTTCTTCCATGTTGTCATCTCTCTGTGTGTCTAAGCTGTTCACTCACTCAAGACGAATGTGCCTTGTGTAGGTCTAAAATTAAAGCTATTGTGAAAATATACAACTAAAATAAAATTATCGAATTTTATAATGATTATGAGCCAAAGTGTGAATTCCGTCCTCCAAAATAAAACGTTTACTATCAAAACAATGCATTGCAACTTTCTGGTAACTCGCAGTAGTAATTTCGTGTTTCTTTGATCTTATCAAATTCATTTTGCATAACATTTTTTTCTGCTTGAACAATACATCATGGGTAATCGACCTTATCAGGTTGATAAATATGACAGGGTGGCACAATTAGTAGTTGTGAAGCTGTGGGGAGGTTTGCTCGCCTATGGTGAGGAATCTCCCTCACTTCCCAAAATAGTTCCAAACCAGCGCGGGGAAAAAAGGGGGGACAAGGGGTTTGGGTCAACTGGAGGTTATACCTCTGTGGACATCAACATATTCGAACCGCAATCAGGCCAGCCAAGTTGCAGTAAGACGGCATACGTACCGCAGTAAGGCATAAAATGGTGCAATAAGACGGATTCAATGTAAATTTTCACTTTCACTAACTTTCTTCGTTCGGTACTATTTTCTTTAATATTGCTAACATATAAAAGCATTACTGCAAATTAAATTAACTTTAAGACATTATGATTCGACTTGCATCAACGGAATTGACTTTGTTCATTATTTTTAATATGTGAAAATAAAATTCTATAAAATTAAAGTTTGAAGCTAATGCAAATCTAGAAACCGCAAAAAGCGAAAATGGCTACAAGATAAAAAGCATGAAACGTAAAAACACCAAACCTAAAAACATATAAGTTAGATGCATAAACTTCATAAGTCATAAACACAAAAGCATAAAAGAGAAAAAGCAGAAAAGCATATAAAAAGAAAACATCAAAAGCTAAAAACAAGTTATCGCTCAGGCGAAAAGATCGCTACGCCCTCGCCAGAGGGCGTAGCGAGCTTTTAGTATCATCATATATGTTTAGAGAGGAATTTTGTTTGTATGATAATATTTTACCTGCGTATGTGTGAGCCTAAAAATTAGGATAATTCAGGGTTACATTGCTGGCAAAAATACCTGTTCGCAATGAGTAATTATCATAGTTAGTGATAGGGAATGAGCATGTATGAATTTCGTTTAATTTGAGTATGAAAATCAATAACTGATTCACCCGTTTTAGGTGGACTTAGAGTGCGATCAGGAAAGAAAGAAACCTTTTAAAAATGCCTGTAAAATCCGGAAAACTTAATTAATTCCAACGACATTTTTAGGGCTTAAGAACAAGGTCCTTATCGTTCAGTTTTTTGCTTCATACGGTCCCCAATGAGTCCAATGCTTGCCCGATTATGTGCTTTTTGGGGAATTTTGACCTCGGCGTGTATTTAAAGGAATCTTTAAACGTTTTCTTATTAGTATAGGAGTAGTACTTCCTCCCAGGGACTTCATCTGGATCAATCGAGCATTGGTCTCATCATTCATTACCAGAATCACGGGCATGTTTTGCTTGACTCGTTTTTCAGCAATCTGCCGAGAGTTGCGCTTTGCTCTTTTTTACTGACCTTGGTTGTACTTTGGTGCAGGTGTCGCCCTATAGGATTTGACCCCCATCTTCGTAGGTTTAATGTCATGTAAACTTAATTTTGCTATTTTCAATTTCTAGCCCAAATTACCGTCTGATATCCCAAAGCTTTTTTTGGCATTCCTGCTGAAGTCTACGTATCACTTTGGGGGTCGCTACACGAGCTGGACGATTGTTTTATTTTTTGAATTCAGCATTCCTCCTCCCCTCATACATATCTAAAACTCTGCAAATTGCCACATTATGAATTTTTTCTCTTTCGAAGTGGCTATTAACCATTATCCGGACGCGCTCGCACACGTTTTCGTAGTAGTGGCAAATCTTTTTTGCGAGTTGTTCCCGATTTTTTGTTCTCATTTTGGAACTAGTCGAGATATCGAGTTCCGGTTTTCTGATTTGGGTAGCTAATCGCATGGACTACAAAACTACCGCGTTTCAACTCACAATGCACATGTCAGACATGTTTCGCACGGATCTTCTTCAAACCACCACTAAAATATCAAGGAACTAATCTCAAACAACATTTGGTATGACACTTGAGCACTTCTGCACAATTTGCGAAGTTATGAATGTTTTAAGTTGGCAAAAACGCGCATTTCCACCATGCGAAACTACGGAGTTCGCCTCTCCGCTTTCCGATTTTCTCTTGCGCTTCTCTTCTCCAGGTCATCGGTTTTCACATTTCGTTCAAAATTGAATTTATTAATTTCCCAAGTTCTCGTCCGCTTTTCATCTTGAGCTAATAATTTTCTAACACTTTTAAATATTAGAAATGGATTCAATTAAGTTCTTATCAGTGTATTTTTTTAAAAAGAATTGATTCAGAATAGTGGATTCGAGTTTTTTTATTTCCTTCATATTGAGTATTTGTAAATCTTTTTGAACATAAAAAACCAAATTCACCAAGTTTCTCATGTGTGATAAGGGCCAACATCACACAAATTCATAAGATTTTTGCCATAAAAATCTTCTGTCTACATGTTGAATGAAATGCATGTGAAAACCAATAACCTGGAGAAGAGAAAAGCGGAGAGGCGAACTCCGTATAGTTTCGCGTGGTGAAAATGCGCGTTTTTGCCAACTTAAAACCTTCATAACTTCGCGAATTCTGCAGAAGTGCTCAAGTGCCAAACCAATTGTTGTTTGTGATCAGTTCCTTGATATTTTAGTGGTGGTTTGAAGAAGATCCGTGCGAAACGTGTCTGACATGTGCATTGTCAGTGGCGATTTTTCTTTCATACAAATAAATATATTTTTCAAAAGTTTCTTTCTTTCCTGATCGCACTCTATTTTATATCATCCAACGAAAATATGGTTTATTTCAAACAGAATTAATATGTAGCTTCACCAATCATGACATATGTATGCAACCAATTTAAATCTTTATTTTGCAACAATGTTCATTAAAATTACCAACAAACTGATTAAATTTACAAATTTAGAAGTGAACAGAATAAAAATACACATTTATTTCAAAAACAAATGGAATAATATGCAAAGTTGTAAATAAGTATTTAGGTTTAATGCGCAAATTACAGTAAATTTAAGAAAGAATTTAAGAATTTAAGTTTATTTAAATACATTAATGTCCTTTAATTTAATATATTTTCCTTTAATTTCTGTCCCACTAAATGTCTTTTAACTTGTCATATTCGAATTTTATTAAATTACGTTGTTGTTGTGTGATTGAAATTTCAAAAATTTCGAAATGACTAGCATTATTTTTAAGAGTTTACATACATAATCATTCCAATTAACAACTCGTAATTATTATTTTTTCACTTTGCTGAAAAGTGTGGCTAAATTATAAAATTTTCATGCTGAAGTTAGCTTTATAAATTTTTCACTTTTCTCCCAAAGCAAAGCTGCATCTTTCTCGGTTAATTTTGGTCGTTGGGTGTAATCCCAAAATTGGCAGTCTCTGTACATTTCTCCACTGTGGTAAGCCAAATATTTACTGAGTGCACAGTGCAACGTGGTTTCTGCGCCCTGAAAAAATACGTGGTTTTTAGAAAATTCGAAATATTTATTGAGATAATTCCCACATTCCTTAACAAATAACTTGTAAAATCCTTGCGTTGTGTAAAGTAACTTTGCAAACTTTTTAAAATAAGAATACTTGAATATTTTCCCCGATTGTGCAATTTTTAATTTTTAAATTTTCATGCACAGAATTAAAGACACATTAAAGCCAACCCTAATATTTAGCATTTTCTTGGCATTTCTTGGTCCGCGTTTTCATCCGGTGGTGGAATTCTTAAGCAAATTTATAAACAAATCAGAATTTTTCAAAATTCTTTACTATTTAATGTGATTTAGATAATCAAATATATTTCCTCAGAATTACATTAATTAGAACTTCCATGTTTCAAAAACCTTTAATATTAATGTTTTCTTAGTTCAGAAATAGCATGAAAATTAAAAATTAAAAATTTACATTTACACCGTACGGTAAAAAATGTGTAACTTGATTTTCCTCTAAAAATATTTTCATAATTTGGTCCAAGTCGTTAAATACTTTGCAGGACCAAGGACGGCGCGAATTGTCTCATTGATATCCGCCCCCCCCCCCGCCCGAAAAAGAGGGTATTTTGTAAATAAATAAATTTTGAAAATCTCACCTCTCTCGCACTCTTCATTTGAAAGAAGGACAAAATTGGAAAGATGACATTCCTTACGAAAAACTTTCTGGGATGGTCTTTTCCAAAATTTGTCCCGACGAGGCCCGGATCCAACGCGTTACTCGTCACTTTAACCTTTTTCGCCCTTAATCTCCTCGCCAATTCAACGTTGAACAGGGCGTTGGCCAATTTTGAGTTGCAATAAAGTTTCGAAGGAAACAAATACTCGTTAAGTGGAGTCTTTTCGTACATCAAATCATCAAAATTCAGCTTGCCCCAGACATGCACACCAGAAGAAACGATGATAACCCTGGCCGGGTTATCTGCCGTGGATAACGCGCCCGCCCTTTCTATTTCCGGTAGGAGTAAATTGGTGAGGAGAAAGTGGGCGAGGTGGTTTACACCAAAGGCTTCTTCAAATCCGTCCTTTGTCAGGGACCGGATGCCGACCGCGTTGGCCACGCCGGCATTATTGATAAGCATGGACAGGCCGGGGGAGGAAGGTCCACCGTATTTTGAGGTGAAGTCGGACGCGAATTTTCGTACGGATGAGAGCGATGAGAGGTCGAGATGCATAATAATCTGGGGAAAAATATTTCCCTCAGAAGACATGAAAAATTTCAACCGTTTTTCTTCAGAAATTTTGCCGTTTTTTTAAGAAAAGTTATTTGCAGGGATATATAGAGTGCGATTCCAAAAGACAGAAACTTTTGGAAAATGTATTTATTCATATGGAAGAAAAATTGCCACTGAATTGAAACGCCGTAGTTTTGTAGTCCATGCGATTAGCTACCCAAATCAGAAAACCGGAACTCGATATCTCGACTAGTTCCAAAATGAGAACAAAAAATCGGGAACAACTCGCAAAAAAGATTTGCCACTACTACGAAAACGTGTGCGAGCGCGTCCGGATAATGGTTAATAGCCACTTCGAAAGAGAAAAAATTCATAATGTGGCAATTTGCAGAGTTTTAGATATGTATGAGGGGAGGAGGAATGCTGAATTCAAAAAATAAAACAATCGTCCAGCTCGTGTAGCGACCCCCAAAGTGATACGTAGACTTCAGCAGGAATGCCAAAAAAAGCTTTGGGATATCAGACGGTAATTTGGGCTAGAAATTGAAAATAGCAAAATTAAGTTTACATGACATTAAACCTACGAAGATGGGGGTCAAATCCTATAGGGCGACACCTGCACCAAAGTACAACCAAGGTCAGTAAAAAAGAGCAAAGCGCAACTCTCGGCAGATTGCTGAAAAACGAGTCAAGCAAAACATGCCCGTGATTCTGGTAATGAATGATGAGACCAATGCTCGATTGATCCAGATGAAGTCCCTGGGAGGAAGTACTACTCCTATACTAATAAGAAAACGTTTAAAGATTCCTTTAAATACACGCCGAGGTCAAAATTCCCCAAAAAGCACATAATCGGGCAAGCATTGGACTCATTGGGGAACGTCTCAAAGCCGTTCGTGACCACAGCCACCATGACCTCGGAGAGATATCTGAACGATTGTGTAAAGAAGATCTTGATCCCCTTTATTATTAATCTTAATGTACTTTTCTGACCGGACACAGCAACATGTCAATATTCAAAAGTTGTTCTGGACTACCTGCGGTCGAAAAAAATCGATTTTGTTGCAAAAAAGGAATATGCTCCCTACTTCCCTCGGGCAAGACCAATTGAACGATTTTGGCCTTTATCCAAGAGAGAATATAGTCGTCGAACAAAATCACCCAAAAACTTGGTAAGATTCCGTCACATTTGGGTACACGCCTCAAAAGTGGTAGCGAGAAAGAGTGGCAAAGCACTTTTGGGGACCGCGAGACAAAAGATTCGCCAGATAGGAAGGATTGGGGTCTATGGCTCGTTTCAAGCAAAAAATTGAATGGTCGAGACCTTGTTTATAATCCTTGAAGATTTCTTTGGAATTAATCAAGTTTTTTGATTTTACTGATATTATTTCAAAAGTTTCTTTCTTTTGTAATCGCATCCTACATATATACCTGCAAAATTATTCATATACGAATAATTTTTAGCAAAACCGTATGAAACTTTGACAAATTTTTTTGCGTTTTTTTCTTAGTGAGGCAAATACCTGACAACGAAAAAATTTGCTAAGTATGCATTTACCCCACCCAAAAAAAGTGACATAAGTCGATATCTCGGCCACTTCTCAACCGATTTTGATGAAATTTTGCACAGATCATTGTTAGGTAATTTAGAAAAGATGTGCTAGTCGACTTGGCGAATTTTTGATTTTTACCCAAGTTATGTGCCAAAATGTGCAAAAATTTTCCCCTGAAAACATATTTATTTTTATTATTCATAAGTGGTGTATCTCAGCATGCTCGCTTATTGAAAATATTTTAGGCAAAGTCATTCCGGACATTTTAAGCGCAAAATGACCTAAATCGGTTGAGAAATAACGGCGTTATTCAAGTTTGAAAATCAAAAATTTAATAAAAATATTCAGGGTACCGATAATAACGGCGGTAGTGCAGTAAAACTAATGTCTTTGACAACCAACTACAAGTTTTAAATAAACAAGGCCCCAAAAAATGGGAAATCTTGTGAGTCAGCGCAATCGCAGTTAAATAAAATTAGATTGAATAACTTTTGCATCACCTCTCTCGGGATAATTTTTACTGGGTCCAGTGTAAATTTAGTTTTGCATACGCATGAACTCTTGCATTCATTAAATTAATTGAGATTACAAGATGACGTTTTTACTATTGAACGAGATTCTCGTTACGAGAAGTTGGCTAAATTAATCGATATGAAATATAATTGTGAACTGCGAATTTTAAATTTAGAAAGAGTTGATAATCTACAATTTCGATATATAAATTTGGATATCCTATTAATTCCTATGCTGATGAAATCTCCAGACCCTTTGAAAAAGGAGGTAATTATTCTAAATGATTAATTAATGCTTCCAAGAAAAATGATACCGAGAGCGGTGATGAAAAAATTATTCAATCTAATTTTATTTATTAACTGTGATTGCGCTGACTCACTAAGATTTCCCATTTTTTGGGGCCTTGTTGATAACCCGTGTCTAGTAGACTACATGGGTGGAAAATACAAGTAACAAGATATGGTAGGTTATCTGGCAGAATTTTAGAAAATATACATATAACACAAAAACCTGAGTTCAGAAATATATTTCAACTGTATTTCTGAACTCAAAATACAAAATATAATTTAAATCTATAAATCACCTCTGTTAAACTTACCAACTCTCCATTTTGCGTCCTACTCCGAATATCGTCCACTACTTTTTGAGCCTTTTGTAAATTTCGGCACGCCATAACAACCTTTGCCCCCCGAACGGCCAACTGTTCCGCGGTGACCTTGCCAATCCCGTCGGAGGCTCCCGTAACGACGACAAGTTTTCCGGAAATGTCGACCTCATTCGTGACGTCAAGTTTCCCTCTTGCCTTTTTAATTTTAAACTTTATCCCGAAGGCAACAATTGCGGGGAGGAGGGCCCCATAGAAGATGTAGGGATTAAATAAAATTTGACAAAACAGGGAGAAAATCATGCCGGGGTAAAGCTTTGCAAAATTATGTTTGGAGGAGATAGCTACTTGGAGTCGGATTCGGTACTGAGCTGTGCAGCAGATTACATTTATAAATATACTTAAATTAAATGTTTTGCAGTCGTGCATGCTATTTATTTACATGCTATTTATGCAGTTGAGTCATGTTATTTATCAGTATGTGAACGTCCATACATTACGTCGGCTAAAAGATGGAATAGTTGTTCTGGGTCGCTTATCTTATTCGTGTTAACCGTACACTCTAAATAAATTTGATTAAAATTCACTCAATTTTGAGTAAAATTGCCACCAAAGCAACTATTGAGTAAAATTTACCCTGAGAAAGGTAAAATTTACTCAAGGTTGAAAGATTTTTGCTCAACCTTGAGTAAATTTTACCTTTGTCAGGGTAAATTTTACTCAATAGTTGCTTTGGTGGCAATTTTACTCAACTTTATTTACAGTGTAACATGAATAGAATAGGGAAGAGGTGGGTGGGCGGTCTTAAAATGTTTTTTTTTTGTTGCGTAATATATGCACGGTCCCTGTTTCGAGTGTGGAGTGAGTAATGAGCTATAAAAAATTGACATAGTGGGGGATAATTATACATATTTACGTACTCACTGGCGTCACATAGCCGAGAGATAAGAAAACCAAAGGAGGGAACGTGCATATATTACGTCATGTAAAAAGGGGGTGGTTTTGGGTCTTCAGTCTTACCCGTGTTGATATTAACCTTGATATTACTTGGATAAGGAAAGGGTGGGTGAATTTTGCAACGTTACGTATGCACGTTCCCATAAATTTTATGTGTATGTATGCACAATGTTGATGGATTAAAAACAAAATAATTACACAAGTCTAAACCAAATGGTGTTTTATATTTTAATGCTTTCAACATAGTATTTATAGATAAATATTAAGTTTATACTGATTTATTTGGCAGAAGCCTTAATAATCAAAATATTATTAAAATTAACGTATGCAAACTAACTGTTTGGTCTTGGTCGTACGACCAAGGTCATAGGTTACTAAATATACATATTAGTTATTTTAACATTGTAATTTAGAATATGTACACCAATACATTACACTTTTTAAGAATAGATAACCATTACTTTTACTTGTCAGTGCCTATAACCATGTTTTCCTTTGTACTGATCCATAGATATACATAGTTTTAGCGAATCACGTTTTGTATGCATGGCGTATGCAGGACTCGTGCGCAAATATGTGTATTTATATTGATTATTATCGGTTTGTACGTATTGAAAGCAGATAAATAATACGGTTTTGCACAATCATTCTCTATAGATAATATATACTCTTAAAAATGCATACAAAATGTCACCCTTCAGAAAAGCAAATGCATTATGGGTTCTAATTTAAGTAAAAAAAACAATCCAGAATCAGGAGTAACATATACCCATATCCTACATTCTTTACGGAACATGTGCTAAACACGTGGGTGAACTTGGGCACAAATGAAATGAAATGAGTATGAAAGAAAATGATTTTGCATGAATGAAACCTCACGACTGCTTTTTGGCTGACGCATTTTTTGAGGCATATTTTTTTTTACTCGTGCACAGATTTCCCAATGTTTATTTTATCCCTCATTCTTGCCACTGCGATCGATCCATAATCATAATAATTCTCAAGTCTCTCATGCATTTACACACCATTTTGCATACGTATGTGCATATACTTATTGAAATATACAACCTATTTAACCTGTCGTGTTCATGATTTGAATCGATTGATGAAGAACATACGATGAACTAGACACGTGGCGGTCGCATCCGGTAGTCGGCGTAAGATAAATATAATCAAACCTTCGGGTTTCGGCTTATTTACTTTGATTAATTTCTTTTCTGACTAAACACGAGTTATGTAAAATTGATGTTATACAAATACAATTAAAACATTGTCTTACCTGGAAACGAACGAATGTACCTAAGTTATTGACAGAATTGATAGGCCAAGTCCATCGTGGGGTGAATAATATTTACGTAAATATACATACATAAATTCGCGGAATGATGTAGGGACACAAAATTCGTGGATTCGTAGAAAATTCGTGGAAAGATAAATGAATTCTTCATAATGCGCTGGTAACTATTAATCCATTCTGAAAATTGTGAACACGTGGAATACACAAATGGAAACAGTTAATTGTGGTTATATATCTTCTTCCTACTTATAAACTATTTATGAAATATCATTTTAACCTACAACTTAACAGTGTTGCTGTCGACGTTTAGAAGTAATAAGCAATTCCCATGAAATATCTTTGATCTTACAAAACTCTAGTGATAAAGTTTTGAATTTAGAAATCCTTCAACTCCAAACATGATAAAACACAATATGGTCACAATTCTTATATTTTCGTTCATAATGATCGCCTCCACTTTAAAATTACCACTATCCATGACCCAACCGCGAATGGGATGTACCTGGAAATATTCTATCGTCCATCGCAGCGAGAATACTTCCATTCGGTTTAATTTAGACGAATTATTTCTTCACAGTGCCCCGCCCAAGTTTCCCATTATGCTGGAAACTTTTCCAGAAACGAGGTCAATTCCGCTTAACATTTCGGCCTCAATTTCTAGACGATCGGATCAATGCAAAGTACATATTGTGATTGTAATGCATTTTCCTTTATTTCATTTGCCCACTGTAACTGGAGAGGATAAGGCTGAAACATTGGTATACATTACACCTGATGGCTGGCATATGTCAGAAATAATTGTTAACAAACATTGGCTCGGGTTCATCGATCATATTCGCGACATTTTTGTGTTAACTGTTAACTACGATATAAACAAGATCACAGTACTAAGAGCTTTTCAACATCAACCTAACGAAGTGGTGGAGTATGACCCTACACAAGGTATGTAAATTACTCATGCGTTTTATATTTAATCTGAGAGATATCTCTCATAACCGAATGTTGAATTCGAATACTTTCCTTCAAAAGTTAGAACATTCCCCAATACAACGAAATGTTAAGTTTTGGATCTTTAATTTTTCAAGTTTGATGTATTCAAACCTTGGATTCCTACTCCGACATGAGGATATGCTTACAATGTCCCAGAATTAATGCCTTTTCCTAATCATACCTCTTACACTGTAAATAAAGTTGAGTAAAATTGCCACCAAAGCAACTATTGAGTAAAATTTACCCTGACAAAGGTAAAATTTACTCAAGGTTGAGCAAAAATCTTTCAACCTTGAGTAAATTTTACCTTTCTCAGGGTAAATTTTACTCAATAGTTGCTTTGGTGGCAATTTTACTCAAAATTGAGTGAATTTTAATCAAATTTATTTAGAGTGTACGATTAGATGGTTAATAATTAGTCGAAGACATTTTTCTTTCTTTAAATTTTCTACATTTTTACAGGAGTCCCTCAACTAAACGGAAACTTCAAACTTGCCAACATTTGTGTTTTTGAACCGGAAGGGGATAACCTTTACCTGATAGCCCTACTTCATCTATCAAACCTTCCAGAACTTGACGCATTACCAACCTTAATTGCTCCACAATTCATAGTTTTACATCAACTGCAAACCAGCCTGAACTTTACTCCAGTATTTCTTCCAGACAATAAGCTCGCCAAACACGAACCCGGAGGTGTCAAGCTTTCCACGATTTATACGCCAAAAATGTATTCATACCGAAAGACACGACTCAGTAATATGAACCCTTTGGTTACCACGTACCTAAAAACAAGAGAGGAAGCCTTGCATCTGTTATACTGTTTAAACGATCCGTCTCCCTACACCCCGTCCGCCTTCTCTGAAATGTTATTCCACGCGTTCGACTATGCAACATGGGTTTGTCTGCTGATTACAATTTTTTGCTGTGCGGTCACCGCAAAATTGATCTCGGCAGGGGATCCAAACCCAGTTTTTGACATTTTTTGCGTACTATTTCGCCAAGATGTGACCTTCTTTAAGCCACTGCATTTAATCCTGAGCCTCATCTTTATTCCAGTATTGTTCCTGTACGAGGCCGATATAACTGCGCACGTTATTACGCCAGATGTGCCAAATATCTACAACAATTTTGAGGAATTGATTAATAACTCTTATGCTATTTTGGTGAACAAGATTAATATTGGGGGTGACACAACAGCCGATGAATATGACAGTGTCCCGAATAAAATTTCCGAGGCAAATTTGACATCAAAGAATATGATTAACTTTTATGGTGCTATTCGTCAATTGAGAAAAATAATCGAGGAATTATTAGAACGAAGGAGAAAATATGGAGAAACGAAGGAAGATGACACCAAAGCGAGTTATCGTTTAACAGAAGACGGTAAGTATAACAAATCTACTCTAAATCCGTTTTCAATCTCTACTATTAAGGTAGAACGCGTGGTCTTGGTTGACTGCGAGGTTGCCACATTCTCTCGCTCTTCATGCGCTCCCCGACTCAGCCAACCGCCCTGTCACGAGCACCGGCAACATCGCAATGAATGCATTGAGTGCAGCATATATTAAGTGACTATATGTATAGACTTTATATATAGTGCATACGCATGCATATGCACATATTAAGTTACTTATGCATACTCGCTGCTCTGTTGCAATGCTGTTCGACAAGAACATTATAAATTCAAATTTTTAATCGAAAATTACTTTACTTATACTTTAAATTAGTAACTTTTCGAATTTTAACCCGATTTCAAAAGTGAAACAATTTTTGCTCAGAATTACTTCCCTGAAATTATAAACATTAATTTTCGAAAATTTTCAAAATTTGATATTTTAATTCCATTTCTGAATTTTTTAAAATGCTAAAACCAATAATTTTTTTAAAATACAATTTTTGTTTTAAATAAATATTTGTAATTTTATGGAAGTAATTCGGAGCAAATATTGTGTTTAATTTTTAAAAATTGCTTTCAGGTAGTATACTTCAAGTAACTGGGTTACGACACTTAATTTCCAGCTATTAAGGCTTTTAGATTTTTCCAAACCCTGCGCTAGGTAAGCGCAGGGTTCGCCACACCGGGTTTTTGGGGGTTTTGGGGAATCAAATCTCCGGA